CAAAATATAACAATGATCACAAACATTTATTTACTTAAACTGTTGTTTAATATGTGTCATTTTTACAATAACTATTAAATATAGTATATTAGTAATTTAAGTATAGTAAATATTAAAATATCATCGATGAGAAATTTGCAAACGAATTACATATTCGTATCAAATAATTTTGCAATCGATATTATGATCCAATGATTACTTTTTTTATTTCTTACTATAAATGTCGCTTCAATTATAAGTAATAGAATTACAAAGATATTGCTCTTATTCTTTGTTGGATACATTATCACTTAGTGAACGCATTCTTATTCTCGTTAAATTCTATAATTATATCGAACATCTGAGATTCATGCTTAATTATATTTCAAAGTCATCAAATAGGAAAATAAATTTTCATAATTTTTAATTGATAATTATGAGATTATTATAAGTAAATTATTGAACCTTTTCAAATGAAAATTATTTATTTCTAAACGTGATTCTATGTGAACGAATTTGAATTAAAGTTCGCGTTATAGTAAGAAAGAATTCTTAACCTCTCTTTTTATTTCATTCGTAATAGTTCTCATTTTCGATGCATTCAAGATATAAGTGAGTTGAAAAAAGATAACCGACAATTTAGAATATTCCTCGATAACGAACAGTTAACAAATTCGTTTAAATAAAACAAACAAAATAAATCATAACCTTGTAAATATAAAATTGTTCCTCTCCTTGAACTTTGTTTCTTGCTTAAAAATTTCTTGAACAGAAATTCGTTGTTGTGTTTCCTTCATGACATGATAAAAGTAGATATATGTATACTCGGTGGAATCAGATTACTATATAAGAAGAAAAAAGAACACTAAAAGAATTTGGCCAATTGTTGGTATGGAATATGCATTATGTAAACATATAAATACATGTATACTTGCGTACCGCTAGATCGCTTCTATGGTTTTCTTTTTTACCGTCTCTCGATAAACCGTTATGTCTGCATTTCCTTTCCTTGTCTAGAACATTTAACATGATCTTTGTTCTAGATTTAAAAAAAAATTGTTTTGCTATCTTTTTAATGTTTATTCGCATGCTTATTTCTTTAAAACGAAATATTTTATCACTCTTTATTGGAAAATTTAATTTAATTTGATTTATTAAATATTGATAATATAAAATTTCAAAAATGAATAATTTTTTTCTTCTTTTCTTTGTTTCAGACGCTAAAATGAGATTGGAAGAAGATCTTGTGATTCGTAGGAGCAGACCAACGATGATTTCTGCAAAATACCGCGCGAGAGAAGAACGTCGTCGTCTGCTAAAGATTTCAGCCGGCAAGTTGAGGAGAATCGAAGACCCGGAGGCTAGTCTATGCAGATCAGTTCTTATAAATAATGCTGTCAGGCGACTGCAACGTGAGAACCGAGACGAAAAGACAAGAAATTACGGACTTCCGGTTGTCACATATCTAAATGACTCGACCAAAGAAAATAATGTTTCTAGCAATCTTATTGTCGGAATAACGGACGACGAAACGTCTTCAAGAAAAAGGTAAGGAAAAATATTTAAGAAAGTGTCATAATTTTTTAATTAGATTTAATTTTTAATGATCTTTGCTAAATTGATTTAAATTATAATTACATATATTTTTTCGTACATAATCTATATATACAATCGCATTTTTTGAGAATTGAATATCGAAAGGATCGAAAAATGTTCAAAATGTTCGACTCGTAATCAAACATCTGCGTTTTAGTAAAAGATGGCAGATGGCAGATCTCGTTCACCGTCTAGAGATTCGTTTTACATAATATAGGTTACGCAACTAGTGGCAAGTCGCATGTAAATTGCGTAATGTCTTCGGGAATAAAGTTGTCTATTCCCGATAATTTATTCATAATTTAATAAAATAATCCAAATAACGTTCAACTTTATCAAAAATAAATATATATATTATTTTCGTAGATTAAGCGATGATACGAGGAATGATGGAATCAGTCCTAAACGTCAAAGGCATGACGATCTCGATCTACAGGATGATGTATTTAGTGACTTCTATATTCTGCCTCCCACTCCTCGATTACTCTCTCACATCGACGAAATTCAGGAACCTGAATCCCCTCATCACCATCACTTGGTGTATCCCGAGGATCGCTTAGGTTCCGTGGACGTCCGATCAACAACGACGATCATTAGCACCAGTACCGCGAACACAACCACGAGCAACAGTACAAGCACGTCCACAAATAGTTGCTGTAATTCTATCATGTTTTCTACCGAGCTAGATGGCGCCAGCAGTCAATTAACCAGCGTTATTAGATCCAGTGACGTAGGCATGATGGAGGCCTCGGATGTAGTTGATCCCGATAGAATCTGCGATTTTGCGAGATTCGCAGACTCTACAAAGACTTTAGAGGAACGTTTAGTGGAATTACAATCGCTGGATGAACATTTTGATTTGGCAAAATTTGAAAGGAATAATAATCAAAGTTGCGGCAGGGCATTCCACGACATTCAGACTTTTCACAGTCTAGTACCTGGATTGGAAACCTAGAAGGGAGCCTTGTGCCTGGAGCACCCTCCTCTCGTCACGTCTGGTTCGATGAAGAAACAAAACCATGACCATAACGACAACGACGATGCGGATAAACAGCTTCGCGGCACATATGAGGAACCACGGCAAGGATGAACCTGGACTTGGAAGATGGACACTTTGTCTGGAATACAGCGCGTCCTATGTCACTTTGGCTTGGAATGGAATATAAGCATCGTCGACTCGATTGGACGACTTGTTAAAAGGATCTATTTAGTATATGAAGAGATACAAAGAGCTTTCAATACGTGATCCATTAACTTATGATTTATTTTCGTGATTGAAATTTTTTGGTCGTTCAACCGTTTCAACGAATTCTTGATTCAGAACAGAATGAAGGGAGGAGGACGAGGATAAATAAGATTTTTTTAAAATTATATATATGCGTTTTTCAACAATGCAGAAATCGATGAATGGGTTATTTGACTGGATTTACAGAGTATTTTCCATGTGTACGTAACTAATAGATTGGTATCACAAAACCGTGTTCATATGAATATCGATACCAAAATGTTCTGATACGCATTACGTATATATAATTTGTATATACTCGAATATGTTTTTAAAAAGCACATTAAGGATTATAATATAAGAGAATTTGTAGTAAACATTTTTGGGGAAAAACAAAAAAACATTGCCAAACAATGAAAAGATGCTAAAAATGAGACGCATATGTCTTTTGTATATAAAAAAAAAAATGCCTTTAGAATAGTTGTAAATTGAAATCGAATGAATTTCACTATCGCACGATTTTGCTACAATGGGCCTTCGATTTTTATTAGCAATATTATCGTTTGTTTTTTAAAAATCTTTTTCGTGGTTTCCCTCGGTAATTTTAAAGAAACAGAAGGGAAAAACAGATTTTAGGATTTCGAAAATTGTGATTTTTTTTTTTT